TATTCCCCTTTTACATTCTCAATGTTAATAAAAAGAACATTGACTCTAAGACTAGGATTATCAATCAGTAAATATCCACCATGCAACGGGTTTACTTTGAAAACGTCATTAAAAATAGTCAAGAACAACCTGATCAAGCTCAGTGCAACAATGTAGGTATCGACATATTTTAGTCCCTTTAGATTAATGTGCATACATGCAGAACAAAATCATCCAGTATTGATTTTCTTTACTGATACATTTTTGTAAGATGAACAATATTTGTACAAATAAAAACAACTTCCAAAAATCCAATTACGGAGTTAAATTGATTACCTGTTACAATGTTTTAGAAAGAGATAAAAGAGTTTGTACTAAATTGAGCAGCACATTTGAAGCAGGATATGCCTACCTACACAGGTAAAATAGCTACGGACGTATTACGTCTGTAAAAATCCGTAATACGTCCGTATTATACGGAAGACCTACGGACGAATAGTACCACGGACGTAAAACGTCCGTTGCTTCCCATCCATAATACGTCCGTATCAAACCGTAAAACATCCGTTAAACGTCCGTAATACGGATTTATAATGCTACGTCCGTAATACGGATGTTTAGTACCACGTCCGTATTACGGATTTTTTGTACCACGGACGTATAACGTCTATTAATATTATGCATATTAATATATAGAGATATTTTGAAAAACAATACCTGTATGGTTTGATTTTTATGTAACAGTTATATTGCTGAAACTTTTGATGGAACTGTCAATGACAAAATGCTATACTTTATTTTAAGGTGATGATACTTTTTATCTGCATTTCCTTATATAGTCTCCTAGTGTTCTATCTAAAATTTGTTTCTGATGCAATACATACAAGGTTTTTGGCATAGAACTTTCTGTCATACAGTGACTTGTTGTTTAACAAGTTGAATATTGATGATAACTCTGATTTAAAATCTTCTTAAACATTCTGCATGATTTATATTCAAGAGTAAATCAACAATAATCATAAGTATTTCAGTGCTTGTCTTTGGTTCATATTTTGCTTTCATATATTGACTTGTTAAAATAAGGCTCTTAGTTTTCTCTATTTGTCATATCCAAACCTTTTCATAGCACACTATATAGTTGGGTTTTTTCATTGTTGGAGGACATATGGTGACCTATAATTGCTCACTATCACATCATTTGAACTCTGGTGGATATTTTTCTCATTGGCAATTCAACCAAATTTCCTTACTTTTATATGATCTTTTAATTATATATCAAGAGTAATTGATCTCAAGAGTAATTGTGAATACTGTATTGTTTCCTTTTTACAGTTTTGAATGTATCTGTTTTCTTAAAACTTTCTTAGAACACAAATAATCTTCAATCTTCTTCAAATTTCAAAATGTTATTTCCAAGGATTTTTATTCACATTCTAATTTCTTTACTTTCAAAGTCCATGAATGTCAAAATAAATGTCTTCTTTGTAAATTTGAATGTTGTATTTTTTGTAAAATTCCCATATTTGTGAGGTAGTCTTCTGTCCTGTATTCATGGTATTGGTTAATCTTCACCATGTTCACTGTGAATGGTAACTGAAATAAAATATTCATAAATAATATAAATTTAACTTCCATGAAGTAATGTTATAATAATTAATAGTCTAATACACTTAAGAGGTCCCAAACAAAGTATATGCCTATGACATATTGTGAGTATTAGCATGTTAAAATAAATTGCTTCGCCGAGTGCAGCTGGATAGGACCGCAGAGGTCCAACCCTGAACAGTTGGGGCAAAAATGGACACAATATTCGCACTTGATACAGGTCTGAATTTGGATTGTAATTAAATATTTGACAAATAATAGGTTTCTGACACAGAATAAATGTAGTCAAAGAACTAGAATTGGTTATACGATTTGAATTTATATTAATTTGTTTGCTTTTGTGCAGTACACTATGCTGTTGTGAATTGACACCCCTCCCCCAAATAATATTTGAAGACGTTTTTTTTTTAAATCGGACGATGATGTGATTTTTGGCGGTTGTATAAAAACTGCTGTCATGTCCATGTTTATTGTACTTTTTGTTGTAAGGTTGCTGTCAAACTAATGTAAGCCTTTCCTTTTACTTTCCTTTTATGAAATCTTAAAACAAAGTTGTGTGTGTACTCATATATATTAATGTGCAGAAACAGTATCAATAGATTAATCAAACAATGAAGGCATTTTGATCAAACTACCATAGCCGTAACTTGGAAGAGCTTCTATTAAATACAAGCTGTAGGTTGAACCAGTATTTACAAAATTGTCAAAGCATGTTAAGCGTACAACTCATAGGTAACCAGTACCTCAACAAGACTTAGAGTGCACATGCTGACCATTTATTTTATGTTGAAATTCTTTAAGATAAAGGTAAAATTACTAAAAGTATCATAAAATCTTAACACTTTACAGATCTTTGACCATAAGGTGAAGGTCGGATAAATCCTATCAGACAGACATCTACACCAAACGATTTTTTTATACACCAAATATAGTTGACCTATTACTTAAGCTTGTAGTACTTGAAAATCAGCCAAAATACAAAAACTTAACATTGATAAATGAAATGAGGTCGTACCCAAGATCAGATGAAACCTGTCAGACTGACTTGCCAGACTGATATACATGTACAGTTGACCTACTGCTTATAGGATTTGAGAAATGGACCTTGTCACTGATCAAAAAAGTGAAGAAGAAGTCAGGTGAACCCTTCTAACAGACATGTAGATGTTGCAAGGAACCCATATACAAAATATAGTTAAAATATCCTATAACTCATACATGTCATAAGTGAGAAATTCACATGACAAAAGAACTATATATTTTTTTCAAGCAGTTATTGAACCATGAAAATGAGGTCGAGGACAATGGACAAATGATAGACAGAATCTTTGTAACATAAACTTCTGCAAACAAGATATGAAGTCCAGGGGTTGAAGTCATAAAACTTTGCACAGTGCTCGGAGCACAAAAATCATGCTCGAAACATGAAATCAAACATTTTGATTGGTTGATTTTTGAAATCAAACATTTTGATTGGTTGATTTTGGAGTATGAGTACAAAAAACTGAGTCAAAAGTTTTATGACTTCAAGGCCAGATGTTCTACCTTCTGAAATATAAAGCTTTATACAAATCTTTGACAATGCCGCCAAAAATAGAAATACTTATGGCTATGTTTTGATAAAAAATCATTCTGATCAAAAAACAAAATTGAAAGTGTGAAATAGCATTATATTATATATATAATAATGTCCTTTGGTCTTTTAAATGACACATTGAGGATCATACCTCATCTTCTTATATTTATATGCTGGTTGAGCCTGGTTCATTGAAAAAGCTCCAAGGTTTATCCATGTACATAATCTGATTGCTATATGTTTGCAAATTCATTCTGATAATGCAAAATCATTAATTGGTTGATTGATTTTTCTTGCTTATTTTAATGTCCAGTGGCAAATATTTTATGTATTCTAAATGATAACAACTTATCAATACATAATATAGGCCAGTCTGACTAGGTACACAGCTACTTTAGTACAAGTAATCTTGATGTATAGTTCTCAAGATGCATATCGAATGTACATCTGTAAAGCTGTATATTAACTGTACAGCTATAAAGTTTTATTTAATTTGGACCATCTTTCGGTTTTTCACATTTTTGCCGTTTCCATGGTAACAGCGGCCATCTTGAAAATTCCAAACCCAAAGTGCACATCTGCACATGGGGATTGGTATTATGGAGCAGTTTTATCAATGTATGTCAAGTCATCTCCGAGAACTAAGCTGGACAAAAAGTGTGGAAGAATAATCGTAGAATAACAATATGTCCCCCCTTTTATCAAAGGGCTGACATAATAATACGCAAAAGTCGATTGTTCAAAAGCGAATTAAAGGTATTTTCTTTCATAAATTGATCAGAAAAGATATGAGGATTGGTTGATTGATGGTTTGTGATCATAATTGATCAATCAATTGATTGATCGATCGTTTGATTGATTGATTGACAGTTTGTAAAATGGTGAGGGGACATTTTTTTTCGAATTCTGCCCTTGATTAATTACTTGTTTGATATCAAAACTTGATCATGATTTGATCACTTTAATCATGATTTAATTGATTGATCAATATTTTGTATAGCCTAAAATGACACATTTTGCATTGGTTTATTCCTTGTCTATACGTTTTGTGCTGTTCAGTGACAAATATCTAACGCACAATTTTACACGTAAGATTGAGAAATATACTCTATTTCCTCTTCTTACATCAGAAAAAATGAATGGCGATTAAGTTATTATAACACTAGATTTGCTATTGCAAGCAATAGAGGAGGATGTCACCCTGTACTGAACATTGTCACGGTAGTAGCAATCATTTTGAGTGTACCAAAGTCAAATGGCACATCTATTATACATGCCTTTGATTCTGATTCCCCCCTCCCCCCTTTTCTCTTCTTGTAGAATAAGATTGATGTATATATCACATCTGTAAAGCTGTATATTAACTGTACAGCTATAAAGCTGTATATAAACTGTACATCTGTAAAGCTGTATATAAACTGTACATCTGTAAAGCTGTATATCAACTATACAGCTGTTAAGTTGATATACAGCTTTACAGCTGTACAGTTTATATACAGCTTTACAGATGTACATTCGATATGCATCTTTAGAACTGTACATCAAGATTACTTGTACTATTATAGCTGTGTAAGTTTGAAATGTAAATGCTGATAGCTTGAACTTCTGACATCTCAAGTGTGTGTGTATGGAGCAGTAGAAGGGGCAAAGTAAGGATGCATTGATGCATACATTACATGGGAAAGTGAGAAAAATAAGCAACAGTGTACATGTACAATTATACTTGAAACAGTTTTAGGTAGATAACATCAAATTATTTAAATTAACTGCAATTCTACAGATGAACTTACTTTGATGTCAGTTCTTTTTTGTATGACATTCACACCTACTAACGTACATGTTCACCAGTGATATCAATCATTGTCAATACTGTACTTTCCTTTCATTTGGTAACAAGCTAAAATTGTATTTATAAATAATTTAATCAAGAAGTCCAGACAAAAACTACATGTAGTATGAACTGATGCTTACTAATTTATACCTTTACTATATACTTTTACTTTTGAGTGAATTGAAACAAAATGTAAGCAAACAACAGAAAAAAGATCAACAGTTAAGCTTATAAAAAATTAATATAAATTATATGTGCAGATTTTAATAAAAGAACAACCTTTCAATGTATGTTGGCAATGTCTGTCAAAAAGCAAAATAAACTTCAATAAACGGTTTCCCAAGCACAGCTGGAAACGAATCCTGAACAGTTGGGGTAAAAATGAACACAATATTCAAGTTTGATATAGGTCTGAATTTGGATTGTAATCAAATATTTGACACATTATAGGGGGGAAATTTCTGGATCCGCCACTGGGTATTGAACCTTTAGATTAAAGAGATCCATACACTTAAACTAAAGTTTTTAATCCAGAAACCAAATGTCTTTAAAGGACAACAATGTGTCATAGCAGTATACGACCCCATATTGTGGTTGTATAAAAAAATTGTTTGTTCTTTTAAACTTTTTCATAACCCCCACAGAAAAAAAAGTTGAGGGCCAGTTGAGGGCCATGTGGCGGAAAGTTGAGGGCTAGCTGTTTTAAGTAAAATAGTTGAGGGCTAGGTGTTGAGCAATTTAGCTCAACTCAAACCTGGCCAAGCACTGTATGTTGGATAGATGTCGCTCAACTGGCCCTCAACTGAAGCTGGCCATTAAGTTGAGGAAAAGTTGAGCAATTGATCTTTGGTTTTCATGTAGTTGAGCAAAAGTTGAGCATTCAGACTTTGATTTTTTTGTAGTTGAGCAAAAGTTGAGCATTCAGACTTTGATTTTTTCGTAGTTGAGCAAAAGTTGAGCATTCAGACTTTGATTTTTTTGTAGTTGAGAAAAAGTTGAGCATTCAGACTTTGATTTTTGTTGAAAAAGTGAGATATAGCGATCCTACATTACGGCGGCGGCGGCGGCGTCCACAAATATTCACTCTGTGGTTAAAGTTTTTGAAATTTTAATAACTTTCTATAACTTTCTTAAACTATCCTGGATTTCTACCAAACTTGGAAAGAAGCTTGTTTATGATCATAGTATCCAAAAGTAAATTTTGTAAAAAAAAATCCATTTTTCCATATTTTACTTATAAATGGACTTAGTTTTTCTTTAAAATTTTAACAACTTTCTTAAACTATCCTGGATTTGTACCAAACTAGGATAGAAGCTTGTTTATGATGAAAACCTAGTATCTAGAAGGAAATTTTGTTAAGATTTTGTTCCATTTTTTCCGTATTTTACTTATAAATGGACTTAGTTTTTCTTGCAGTTAACATTACATACAGTCTGCAGTTTAAGTTTTTAAAACATTTATTAGATTCAAAAACTATCTAAAAGTAGGCGAGACACTGAGTTCCGCGGAACCCTTACTAATTTTTTTTATAGTTGAGGAAAAGTTGAGCAATTGATCTTTGGTTTTCATGTAGTTGAGCAAAAGTTGAGCAATTAGAAATATGAGCCGGTGATATAAATGTTATGTTCTATCTGTTTTCCATTTATCTTTGTGTAGTGCAAGAAGACAGGATGTATCATTATAATTGTACACAGAGTTTGAGGCCAAATTAAGGGAAGCACATGTTTTTATACATTTTTCTGTAATTATTTTAACTCGTAACATAAAGATAAAGATAAAAAACAAACAATATTTTTTTATCATAATATATATCAAATATTCAAGATTTAAATTAGGTAATTAACAGTTATTATTAGGGGCACATTTCATAGGGATCACACTGTCACAATACCCTAAACAACCTCAAACAAATTTAAAATTTGAACTAGCATGAGCATACACATGGCAAGCAAAGATGTCTTCTAGCTATCATGAACAAAATATGGATTTTACAATGGATGTAGATCAAAAAGTTACAAATAACTGTATTGACATTGATTAGTGCAGATGTATTCTTCTGATGACATGACTCTTGGATTTAGGAAGATTGCTGTTTTCACATATTTATGGATAACATCTTTTGGTAAGTACATTGGATTATAATTTCCACTATTTTGAATAAGTGCATAATGCTCTTTTAGTTCAAAATAGTGATATTTAAAGTGTCTTCTTAACTTTTTAGAGTGAAGAAAAAAATTAGACTATTATCAAAATGTGTAAGACAGGAGACATATTTTTTTTATTATTAAGACAATTTATTTTAGAAAGTATTACTAATAAAATAAGAATCTTCTAATATAATGAATTAATAATGAGATCTGGGGTATGACTGCCAATAAGACATCTATCCACAAATGACAGATAATTATATCTTTTTTTATGGTTGAACAACACTTTCTGTTTTGAGTATTTTTGCAATGTGCACTTTGAATACCCATTTTGTACTGACTGTTGCCATTTTGGTTTATCAAGGGGGTGGGGTAGAAATTTTTAAGAAAAGAAAATTGTTTTAGGGTTTAATGAGCAGATACACTTAATACAGTTAATAGGGTAATAGAGATTTTATTTACTATATGACATTTAAAAAGCAAGTTTAAAGCTGTCATGTAGTCTGTTGTGAATTTAGATCTTTCAGCAGTATTTTGGCTATATAAAATACACAATTTAAATTCATTTTTTCTACAATTTGTAGTCATCAGTTTGCAATGACCAGCTAATGCTCAAATTTTAAAGACCTGGCCCTCAACTATTGGTCACCTAGCCCTCAACTTTTAATGACCTGGCCCTCAACTATTGGCCACCTAGCCCTCAACTTTTAATGACCTGGTGCTCAACTGTTGGCCAGGTAGCCCTCAACTCTAATTGCTCAACTGTTGGACACCTAGCCCTCAACTATGATATTTTGCTCAACCTTGCTCAACTAATTTGCATAAAGTTGAGCATTGATAGTTGAGGGCTACCTAATTTGCATGGCAAAAATCCATGTAGCCCTCAACTGGCCCTCAACTATTTGCTCAACTGACAGCCAGCTAGCCCTCAACTGGTCCTCAACTGTTTGCTCAACTGGCGGCCAGTTGAGCAATGCAGTTGGCCATCCTATCATTTTTTCTGTATGGGAATTCATCTACAAGAAATGTAGGCCTGTTTGGGATTGCTTGCAATGCAATTTTCCTTATAAATTCAACCTTATATAGTAATGCCGGATTTTGATTGGTTGGTAACCAGAGTATTTTTCGTACATTCTAATCCTTTTTACTCTATATCTGTACTAAAAATCTGTAGTACCGGACACTACTTCTTTACTTAAAAATTAATGTAATATTTTGGTACTGTACCAGTATTTTACAGTACTTGTTTTGTACTAAAAATTTTGGTACAGAAATAATACCCACAGTGATCATAATATTCCATGTTTGAAAATCATAACTTAAAGAGATTTGAAATAGACAAACTATCAAAATGCTGAAAATGTAACGGTGTAATAACATGAATAAAAAAACTGTAGTACTTAAATTTCAAGTACAAATCAGGTACTGTAAAATACAGGAACTTAATATCATGATAATTTTAAAGTAACAAAATGGTACTAAATATTAAAAGTAGATTTCTAGTACTACATAATTTTGGTACAGAAATAGTACCTATGCAAAAGTAGCTGTGTAACCAATTTCAAGTTCTTTGACTACATTTATTCAGAAAACTGTAATGTGTCAAATATTTATTTACAATCCGAATTCAGAAACTTGTCAACATTTAAGTTAAGTACTAAGGAGTATTATTACTACAACTGCACAATATAAATGACTTTACCATAAGTTATTTCTTGGTTTCCTTAAACTGACCTCATCACGAATATCAACAAATTGTTTACAGTTTTGTAAAAAAAATAATTTGTCACTTCTAACATGGATAATAATAATAATTTTCGACTTGCCCACAACAAGAATCAAAACTTTGAACTCTATGACCTCAAACTTTACAAAAATCTTGAAAACTACATGTACATGATGTACCGAGTCTGACAAGAAAAAAAAATATTCAAATAAAGTCATCATTTTAATAACATACCTCTCATCACAAAATTATTCATTGACTACTGCTCCTCTGTGCTCATATGCACATAAATCAATATGACAATCTATGAATCCACTATATAATCTAGACATCAATGACCCAAATGAATTCTGTTCTGTTGCTTAGCTTCTCCTACTTCTCAAAGTACTTGTACTTTCATTGAAAATGCTAAAAGAAATGATGTTTAATGAAATGAAGTTATAATATCTGCCAAAATAGCCTTTAATATTTGATCCGGCAAAATTGGCTTAGTTTGATCTTTTAAAACTAGACCAACAAACTTTCCCTGAAAAAATTGAGGCTTCCAAGAGCCTCAGTCACTCACCAGTATCCACTGTGGTTTTGGAAATCATGTAAAATAACGTTTAAATCATAATAAATAGTATTAGATACCCCAATAATGATTGTGGCCAAGTTTGGTTAAATTTGGCCCAGCAGTTTTAGAGAAGATTTTAGTAAAAGATTACAAAAATTTACAAAAAATGGTTAATAAAATTGATTATAAAGGGCAATAACTCCCTAAAAGGTCAATTGACAATTTTGGTCCTGTCGACTTATTTGTAGATCTTACTTTGCTGAACATAATTTCTGTTTACAGTTTATCTCCATCTCTAATAATATTCAAGATAATTGCCAAAAACTGCAAAATTTCCCTAAAATTACCAATTCAGGGGGCAGCAACCCAACAACAGGTTGTCTGATTCGACTAAAAATTTCATAGCAGATAGAACTTAACCTGGTGAACGTTTTAACTCCACGTCAGATTAGCTCTGAATGCTTTAGTCTCAGAGATACATGGTACTCCGAACTGCGATGGTCACGCCGAAGTGCGATGGTCCACGCTGATGTGCGTTGGTTAACACGCTGAAGTGCAATGGTCCATTGTGACACTAACTTGTTGTTAGATACCCAGAAGTGCGTTGGTGGGTACGCTGAAGTGCGATGATCTAACTGTGACGTTGTGTATACTAGCTAAATGCAATGGTCTGAAGTTGAAATCCCATTTTTAAATGTGGCGGTGTAGTGGTTAGTGTGCTAGCCTCGCATTTGGAAGACCGGGTTTTATGGTCAGGTCAAACTAAAGACTTTAATTTTTAATTTGCTAATGTTTTGCTTAGTATACAACAGTATGAGGCAGAAAATAGACTGGATGGCTCAGATTAAGTATAATGGATTCGAGTTGGGGGACTTGGTTTTTATAATGAGCGTTTTAAGTGCGATAAAAAATAAAACGGGTATAGCACGGCGCTCTTTGTAGTACTAACTAAGCAGGATACATTTAATTTTATCAAATATACTAGTAACTTGTTCTTGTCATGTCAGTAGCTATGAAATTTCTCACAACACTCATGCATCTATTTATTTAATAAATCATAACAGTTTTTAAGAAATGAAAACTACCGATTACATTTATGCTTGACATATAGTGAGACATGACGCTTGTTCTGTCAATAGCTTGAGAATTAGCTGATTTTTCGCTAAGCAGCAGAAACTGAGAATTACAACAAGTTGGCACCATTTGGGTTTCTTTAGGCCTAACCCATAGCAGAATATTAATACTTTAAACAAAATAAAATAACCAAGATTGCCCGTTTTCTTACAAAGCATGCCGGATTCATCTCGAGAATAAAACAAAATTATCGCTACTTGATATAACGAAAACATTGCTAATAATTAATTTATTATTTTAAAAGTTGTCCACACACAATCATGTGATGTTTACTTGAGGAGAAGTCAAATTTTATATAAGACCAAGACATGCTCAAAACTGTTTGGGACTTAAATTGTTCGTTTCATTCTGTTTCCTTTCCTTCGTACGTACAAAACCTTCATCTACAAATCTTATTCTCCTGCCTGTGAATCAATTTGTTTCATAACGTTGTATTTGAAAACGTCATAATATCAAACGTCATGCAAAATCATCTCACTTCATTGAAAGGACCATCGCACTTCAGCGTCCCCATCGCACCTCCGAGTCCTACACATGTATCAGCCAAAAACTGCATTTTACCCCTATGTTCTATTTTTAGCCATGTTGGCATGTTAGTTAGCAGGAGAAGTCATCGGACACATATTTCTAACTAAATATCCTAATGATGTTTGTGGCCAAGTTTGGTTCAATTTGACTCCGTAGTTTCAGAAGAGAAGATTTTTGTAAAAGTTAACATGGACGGACAACGACGACAGACGCCTTGTGATGAGAAAAGCTAATAAACAGCTGTGTCACGAGCGCATGATACACCCGTTGTCTTGTGTGTGAAGTTTTATGCAATAATCATAAATAGTTCTGAGATACGGCGCGACATGTGAAAACCCCCCTTTTTTACAAAAAACTCAATAACTCTAAAATAAAATTTTGAATCATCACCAAAAAGTATACAGATCTTACGATTAATACAAATAAGAAGTGTGTAAAGTTTTAAGCAATAATACGACATATTTTTTGAGATATGGCGCGACATGTGAAAAAACACACCCCTGTTTTAGCTATAAAGTCCTGTAATAGAGAGACCAGAATAGTTTATTTTGTCCGCCATTTTGTTTTCCAGTTGACAATTTTACTAATATTCAAAGAAATTGAAATATCATTTTCTTGTTGTTCCCGTATATCCTTAGTGTCATTATATTGTTAAAATGAAGGATGAAAGGTTGTGTTTTCTATTATAATAAAATATTTTGATTACTTGTAGTAATAAATTTTCATTTTCAGGCGAATTCGCGATGTTTTTTCAAAAGAATGTCATCCGCGGCACGCATTTCGAGCAGGGATAGCCCTCTTCAAACTGGAATAGAAATATGTTCCTGACGTCATATCGATCTAATTTTGTTATCCAATTAAAGAGCAGGGTTTCTTTTTCCTTTTGGTACCAGTCAAATGTCACCTTCCGGTTTCTATGACCTTGCAATTTCAATAACAAAAGTTCAAGTCGAAAATTTACCAGATTAAGTAAGAATTTTACTTTTTTGACCGAGATATTTTTAATCTTCAATATTTTATCTTTAAAGCGATCTAAATCTCTCCTTAAAATTTAACCGGGAACATATTTCTTTTCAGCGTCGAGTAATAACAGTGCCTACGTGAAAATGTCCAGTGAACAGGAATGTTGGAAACGGCTGTCGGAGTTCAACGTTAATCGAGAAACAGTGGTCGCTTTGTTGAAGGACGAGAATTATACCGGTTAGTTCTCATATTTTATGCTTTTAACTTTTTTTAAGCTTTAGAAATAAGGAAAATAAAAGAATTTGAATAACGATAAAGCAAATAAATTGGGGCAATAGGGGGTGGGGCATAGATATAAATGTAAGTTTATCGTGAAAAAGGAACCGAAATAGGGAAGTTTCAATGAGACTTAAGTGTCAGGTCAATAAACAAAGGGTTCTGGTTCATTTTTTAGCAAAGATACTAATTATTTTTATAGTTTATCGGAAGCTTGTCACTGTCACACTGATTATAAGATAATTTCTAAAATTTAAACCTAGATCATGCACATGTTACTTTAATATACCTATCTTTAGGTAGAGGAAATTCCTTACATAAATATGTTTCAAATTTAGCAACGGATATCCAATCCACACTTGCACAGGGTGTTTTTATGTTAATTTTTACATAAAATTAAAAAAAAATAATACTGCATCATTTTAATACATGTATGAATCATGTTCCATGGCATTAGAACCTTTTCTTTGTGGTCCCTTCTTTGTGTTTTTCAGCTTAATGGATATTTAGAATTGTTCGAACATCTAGAATGTCAGCAAATTTGGATGATGTAGCCTTTAATAGATGTTGCATTGCTGGATGATAAAACTATATGAGTGAACTCATTGCTTAACAAGTCAATATATGATAATGCCATACCATCGTAGAAATATAAACCATACTTATCTCTTACCACCACCAACCAATGATCATGATGTCATATTATTTTCACCATCGCTGGACGATGACAATTTAGACCATGGTATATTTGTAACACGTACCTGATGAAATAATAGGTGAGGTATTTTAAACAGTAGAATGTTCAACAAATGGGCACATATGTGGGGTATATGTTCATGAGACAGCAACAGATTAACTGGCAAAGTTTTTAATATACTTGGTTTTTTTTGGGTACGATTATTATTTCAGATGGTTGGTCGTTAGAGAAATTAAAGAGCCCAATTTGGAAAGAATTTTATTTCTGGGATGCAGTCATTAAAGTTGTTGAAGAAGAAGAAGAAATGTCAATTAAAGAGAACTTACCAATAGCTTTTAAGAACTTTGATATTTTAATTACTTCTGTGTCATCTTTTGTAAGAAAAATTAGAAACAGAATGGCTCTGATTTTAAAACGCATTGATGTTACTTTAGGTTATGATGTAGTTTTTGGAAATGAAAATTTTAGTGAAGTAGGGCCCTATTGTATGAAATATGGTATTTCATTACAATGGTTAAAGAACCCCTCTAAGTTGGAAGGTATTTTGAATTTACCAATTGGTTTAATTGTAGAGTTACAAAAACTCAGACTCCGACACAATTTCACTTTTAAAGATTTTTCTGTTTGGATAAAATTAATGTTGGGTCTCGATTATTGTCCTGATGTCGGTTTTTTGAGGAGACAAATGGAAAGTTTTTATGAAAGGCAGCTAGCTCTATCTAAAAACAGTAAAATAGATCAAGACATGTACTTGGATAGTATATATGTACCCCCCAAAACCAAATATAATGCTACAGGGAAAAATGAAGGTGAAGGCCTTCAACAAAGGCGTCCTTGTTTAAACACTGTAGATGGAGAGAAATGTATGTTGAAAAAGAATGTACAAAATCTTGAAAACAAATTGAAAATTGCTAGGCATGCAAGAATGAATGCAAATTTAAAATTAAATGAATTAAAGAAGAGCAATGTGAAACTGAATAAAAAATATGCTACATGCTGTATAAAACTGTCCAACTTTTCTACAAGAAATGTAAATAAAAAGCTAAAGCGGAGGCAAAAGAAAATACAGTTTCTTCAGTCAGAAAATAGCAAACACATTACAGAAAAAAAATTAATAAAACAGAAGTCAGAAATAAGCAAACAAATTCATAAACAAACATCATCACTATTGAAATATTACTGCGACAAGTATAGAAATTTGAAAAAAGCTAAAGTCACTCAAAATTTAACACAAAAAACATGCAACAAGGAAAA